GGTGTGATTTAGTAATATTGTAGTAGGGAGGCTTGCTTTGGATTAGAAATGGGGTGAAAATTCTTTCTTGGATTCCATGTATGTAGTGGCATGATGGTTAACTTTGAACTTCTGTTTATTCAGTGGTGATAAATGAGTGATTCCAACACAAACATAAATTCTGGCACCACTGTAAAGTGCAGTGTCTCCTGGAATCTGCTTGTATTTCACATCTGTGCCCATATACATTGCTGTTTCTGGACAGCCCTGAACAATCACTGTGTTCTTTCCTCAAGACCAAGTGGATTCTGAAAGGCCAGGAAGGAACAGAGAATAGAAATGGGCATTAGCTTTGAATGTGCTCTTGATCTTTGTTTTTTCAGGAGAGATCAGAGTGAAAAATGTTTTATTGAGGAGTGTCTAATCCCCTGCAGCCAAATATTGGTTTTCCTGACCAGACCAGTTTTCTAGGTAGCTTAGGCAGATCAGCCTTCACTTGGCACAGCATCCAGGATCACCTGTCAGTATCAGAGGTAATTATGATTAGAACCTATTTGTAGAAACTTCTGATATTGAGCTGAGGCACTTGGAATCAGATAATGATAATGAAAGCCCATTTCTGGTCATGTAATATTTTTCTAAAAATCAAAGGGTTTCAAAAGGTAGCATTTCTAAAAAGGTACATATGTAGGATTAGAATTATTCCTTTTTACCACCACCCCAAAATGAACATCCCATGATGGTTTGTTTCTGTCAATTTAGAGGATAATTTTTATCCATTTTCCTGGGAAACTGCAGATGAACTGGAACTAATATACATTATGGGTTTCATGAATGTTATTTCCAACTGGGGAAGCAGAACTTGTTTCTTAAGCCAAACTTGTCTAAGTGTGTCAGAGAGTGCAGTCTTCAGCTCTAACAGATGAGCAATGAGCTTTTATGTCCCACTGCTTTGAATCTAGTTAACACTAACCTGTTCTTTTGGACAACCAGTGGTAGTGAGTTATATGGCTTTTCCTTCTGCATTTGTTTTTTTTCCAAAGCATTTATTGAAGTACAGTACAATACAGAGATCTGAAGAACACACACAATTTTACATTTTCTAGGATAAACACAATCTGACTCAAAACATTTGGCAGCCTAGGTCTCCTGGGACTGATCTTGCTACAGAAGATTGTGGTCAGGAACTTTACTGATTTAAAAACAATGTGTTCTTGCCTCTGGTATAGATTTAAGGAAGTGTGAACGTGTTGGAAGACACAAATGTTTTAAATTTCTAAAGACTCCTTATTTGTTTTTGCTTGAAAAGAAGTGTAGGTCTTTATCTTGTGCTGCATATGTTCAAGAGGTAGAAAGGAAATTCACACCTGTCTATTCTGTTCAAGCCAACACTTACTTTACTCATTTAATCTGCACAATTCCCTGAGAGATCGATACTATTCTTCCTTATTCTTTACAGGAAAGACTAAAGAAGCAAACACCTTATCAATGGGGCACCGAATCAAGCCAAGGCTGGCTCCTTCCAAGGCATCTCATTTCTATCTTTCTTAAATGGAGTCTTCTTTTCTAAGTGAAACTTCTATAAATAAACCTTTGAATCAGCTTGGCAGTACCCTGGACATTTATACTTCCCTCTTTTATTTGCAGGGTGGGGGATGGTGGTGGTGGTGAATATCTGTTCTCTCTTCTCCAATAGAAACCACAGGGTGGTATATGTTTTGTGGTTTTACACAAATCTGGACGCTCAGCTTGTCTTAGGTAGGTGACAGTGGTAGGAGAGATAAAAGCTCATTCAAAAGCCAAGCAAAGTAGTTTTTCTTTGTCTAAGTGTATTGGACTTTGAGAGTTCCATGATTTAGAAGAAGTGAATTGTGAATCCTTTCCTCTTCAAACTGGTGATTGGTTGACCTGAAGGTAGATTTCAAAATAAATTTTGTCACACATCAAACATTGGTAGCAGGAAGAATGCACAAAAATATCCATAAAACTGCTTTGTCCCTTCTGCCTGTTGATAAGAACTTCCAGGAGAGATTTCCTGTCCACAATCCTCTGTCAGGATATCAGTCCCAAATGTTCTGTGTATTGAGTCCGAAGGTAGTTATGCCCCTGAAAATGTAAAATGTTCTTGGTTTTCTTAAGATCTGTATACTGTACTGTACCTCAATTTTAAAAAAATGGAAATAAATGATTGTCCTTGAGTTCTTCACAGACTGTGAGCAGAGAAGCTATAATATTTTTATCAGAACAACAAACCCATTGAGCTAAAAGTTTCCATCAAAGGGTCACTATGTACAGTGAGAGCACCCAGAGGTCTTTCATAAGTTCCTATCTTATCAGCTCATAGATCCTGCATTAGCAGCCCTGATCTTGGCCCCACATTCCTCTTAAGGAATTTATCACCATCATATTTCTAGGTCAATACAATGAAGAAAGCTATTTCAAATAGGAGACATACTTTGGTCAAGGCCTTCTGTCTCAGGACTCCTGCCAAATCCTTTTTCCTACTGATCTAGCCTGGTCCCCCCGAGGGTGGATGTCATAGCTGCTTCTATTGAATGACCACCTTGATGCCTGGGGACCTTCATCTTGAGGACATTATTTACTTTGCCCCATTTACACACACCCTTTTCCAGGAATTGAACTTCTCTTGCCTTGCCCATTAAAGTCAGGGTTGGTGATTTTAACCAAACTTCTCATAAAGCTACAGTTATATTTTCCCTACAATAAGTAGGGTTGCAGTCTCTCTTCCTCTCTGAAGTGGGGAAGAGACCAGGGTAGAAAGAGGCTGGAAGAGGCCTAACCCAAAGTACCAACTTTGATAAATATTGGATTTGGCCTACTAAGAGCCTTGGCCTGAGTAAGTGAGATTGCCTAAGTGAGATTGCCAAGGTCAGGAGATAAAGATGACTCTTTTTATCAGTTGTCTCTAAGCTATGCTCTGGAGTACTGATTTGATACCCTTTCAGAACTCCTGTGATGCAACTTCATTGCCCAAGTTTCTCCCACCTTCTCATTTCACACACCTTTTTATCCCATTCCCTTATCAGAATGCAGTCTTAAAAAAAATAAAAACTGGCATGCATAAACAGAAATCCTTTGTTGGTATTTTTAATCTACAATGGATATATTGCCATAGCAGTGGTTGTGTAATAATACATATCTGTGCACACACATGTGCGCAGTCACAGACAGGCACGTAGGCACAGGAAGGCACACATGCACACAAATGACAAGTGGGTCAATTTGGGTTTCTGTCAGGCTGTTCTTTTTCCTTTCTCAAACAGCACCAGCCACTGAACAAACTATTAACATGTCTTTAAACTTCTCTTGGCAGTTTTTAACTTGTTTGTGCCTAATTCAGGTCCCCTTACTCATACAAGTAGAGCTAACTTTATGAAAATGCTTGAGTTGGTTTGCTTTTAGTTTTACTTATTGTTGGAGCTGACCTGAAGAGAATTAAGGAGATGGCATGGGTGATGAGGGTTATATGAGAGGAACATGGGAATTGACTTCAGTGACCTTAGTTTATTTTCTGAGATTTAGACACTTCTCTTCATTGTTTTTATTTTAACTCATGACTTGCTCATTTTTAAACAACTATCAGTGAAGACATAGGAGATTTGTGCATTAATAATTAACCACAAGTTTGATATCCTATCTGATATCCTAGCTGGTTTCCAGACAGTCATATAACATCCTTATTTTAAAATTAGGCTTCATAAGCACTCATAAAACTGGATAAATGTACTTTTTTATTGTTAACATACATGGGCAAGTTGTTTTAACACACTAAGTTGAACTTGGTGTGCTAGAGTCCTAACCTTCCAAAGCCCAAACCAAACATATCAGTTAATTCAGGGGCTGTGGATAAAGGTGATTCTGGGGCTTCTACTCTGTGAGGACTAGGAATTCTTCATCAGAATAAGGCTCCCTAGAGCTGCAGAGGTGGCAGGGATGTCCTTGTCTCTGCCCTGGACAGTGCCTTCCCACATCCCTGGGCACTTAGCCCTCTTTGGGGACTGGTACTGTGCTGCAGAAAGGAATGGACTATTACCTCCTAAAAGCTGGCTTACAATATTTTTCCTTCTGAGACTTTCTAGTGCAAGTTTTTATTTCTTCTAGGTCTCAGAGATGGGGCAAGAGCTGTTATTCCAATATATGGCTACTAGGGGCGTGCTAATTTCCAACTGTGGCTAAAGGGTTGGGCTAGTGCCTGGATTTTGCCTCTTGTGGGCTGTATGATTGGGCAAATAACCTACATTTTCAGAGGTTCAGTTGTCATCTCCATAAAACAAAAATAATACTCCTCATCAGTGTTGATTAAATGAGACAGGGCTTGTGGGATTCTTAATGTAGTGTGTAGTGTGTTTGGAAGTGAGGAATATGTACCCTATGGTCATTGCTTTAATCAGTACTATGCTAATAGCAGAAATTCTGCTTTCTCTGCACAGTTTTGGTTACATAATATTACAGATTTTCTTAAAGAAAATGTTTCCAAAAACTATTTGTAAAGCGAATCCCCTATCCTTGTCCAAAAAACAAAAAAACGAAAACAAACTGAGATGTGGGGGGGGGGTTGTTTTGTATGTGTCTGGATTCAAATTTCCAAATTAATCTTCTTAAACCTGTTGAAAAACCAAGGGCAAGGTGCTATACACCTATAATTCTAGCACTTGGGAGGCTGCGGCCAGTCTGGGCTACTTAAAGAATTCTAAATCCTCCTAGGTTACATAGTGAGACCCTGTGTCAAAAAGGAAAGCATAACATGTCTTCACAGTGCCTGAGGTAGCTAAGCATAATATGTAGTATGAAAAGGGGATTTGCATGGCTAATTAGAGATCCTTCTCTAATCCTTTTCCTGATTTTTTTTTCTTTAGGTTTTAGGTGTTTTCATCGGACCATCCAAAATGCATTTTCAACGTTCTGGGTAAGAGCTGTTAGAGGGGGACTTCATATACTCAGCCACGCTGCCTGCTGATGGCATTTTGACTGCATCAAGGCCACGTGACCCCCTGCCCAGGATGAGTGATGAAAAGAACCTTGGAGTGTCCCAAAAATTGGTCTCCCCTTCCAGGAGCACGAGCAGCTGCTCCTCCAAGCAGGGAAGCCGACAGGTAAAATTCAGCTTGTACAGTATTTAGATGTAAATCTAAACTACCAAGAATTTGCTGGCATTTGAGTTCCTATCTTTATATCAATTCTCTATATTTTAATAGTTTACCTCATGTGTCTACCAGGTTTGGCTCTTTGTATTATTTCATTTAGTCTTTTGCATCTGCCCTTTAATGTAGGTATTAATACACCCTATCCCCTAGAAGCAGACTCAAACAGACTAAGTTACTAACCCAAGGATACACAGCTACTGAGGAGCAGATAACAGATCAGAGCTCCATTTGTTTGGCTCTAGGGCCCATGCTTTCCTTATACCCTGCTAACCAAAATAAGACACTGCCATATTCCCAGTAATTATAATAATATAGACTCCCCCACTTGCTTTTCTTATCAAACCTTTTTTGTGATGCGTGTTTGCACGCACATATATGTGTATATGTATGTGCATGTGTTGGTACTCTAGCTTGAACTCAGGACCTGAGCATTGCTTTCTTAGTTTTTGTACTCAAGATTGGAGCTCTGCCACTTGAGCCACAGATCCACTTTTAGCCTTTTGGTGGTTAATTGGAATTAAAAGTATCATAGACTTTCCTGCCCAGTCTAGCTTTGAATTGTTATCTTCAGATCTCAGCCTCCTGAGTTAAAAAGGAGTTAGCCACTGACACTGGGCATATCAAACCTTTTATGACTGCTTATTGGTACTGAAGTCTCTCCTACTTTTATTTCTCTAATGGGTTGAGGGGAACAGAAAAGATGGTCCAAAGGAATTAATAGGAGGAAGAAAAAGTGAAACAAAGAACAGAATAATTAACTCCTAAATAACTGTCAGGTTATCATATGTTCCTTTTTGGTTTTCTTGCTAATCTGTTGGCAGGATTTGCTGGTGCTTGACCAATGGCAGGAAGTGCACATTAATCATTCAGATCCTTCCTTCTTTACTAGGTGGGGGAGGAGCCTTCCAAAAAGCCAGATTTATAGCCCAAGTGGTCTTTTCAGCACTTGCTGGTCTTGTTGGCATTGTCTTTACCCTGCAGGAAGTGCTGGCCTAAGAATTCACCCAGTGTGCTTGGTTCCAGATTTGGAAGCCACAATTAGGCAGCTTCCCACCTCAAGCTGTCCACATGGTTGTGACTCAGCAGCAGCATGGATCTGTGTTTGAACATGACCTGGGACAGGCCGCAGGGAGCTGGCCACCCACACATCTATGATTCTAGGCAAATTAGAGTTTGCTATGGCTTGACATGTCAGGGAGCCTCCAAGGTCTCCCTGAGAAGAAGCTGGTTTTTAAGAAGCATTCATTATTCCTTCCATCCTCCTTTGATCAGGACATGATCAAAAAAGTGGCCGGAGCTGGAGTCACCAACACTAGAGTTGTTTAGTGATAGGCTCAGGTTCTAGACTAAGAAAAGCTTCAAAGTGTTGTTTGAAATCTGTTTTTGTAGTATTTGTTTTGTTTGAGTTGTATTATAAAAGATAAGGGGATGTTCCCAGTGCATTAACTTCTTTCTCATTTGGAATAGTTAGTTGGTTAGTCATTCATTTATCAAATGATTATCTTTTAAGTTTTGTATTTTCCACTTCAATGATATGTTTATATAATATTGCTTTATAAATATAAATACTTGTCTTTTTCCTCTGTGGCAGAGAAGGTGGAGAAATTAATATGATTATTTCACTTTTAGCACAAGTTTGGATCTAAAGCATATCTTTAATTTTCAGGGGCCATTTTCTTAGCCCATCCACTGTTTCATCTGTATAAAAAGGAAATGTTTTGACTCTGGCGATCTGAGCTATTCATCTGCATCACACCTGTGGCAATTCATAGCCACACTGCTTGAGCTGGCAATGACTGCTTCCTCCCTCAGATCTGCAGCTGAGACTAGGTTCCTGTGGAGGCTCTCACTTGCCAGCAACTGGGGACACAGCCACACCTATGAGTTTTTGGTTGCTGAACAGAGTAGTGGTAACTTGTTTCCTACTGGAAAGTAAAAGCTCAGCACTTAAAACTTCAAGATTTCCAGACTTTACTTGAGGAATGTTGGATTATAACTGAGCACATCTGTGCAGCTACCTCTTTGTTTTTAAAGTACCATTTTAAGGTAGTTTTCAAGCTGCTCTGCTCTTTTCCTTTCCTCCATAGGGAGGTCATCTCATGTTAACTTGATCAGCATTCTCAGTGCTAGTTTTGCTCATGTGCATTGGAATTACTATTTAGGGCTTCATCTTCCATTGTGGTTTCCCATGATGCTTCTGTCTGCACTCATCCTCTCTGCAAATACCCATTTAGGGATGTGCCGCTCCTATCTCCCACCTCTGAGTCCAGTGTAAGTCTTAACATTTACAACTTGGGCTTCTCCTTCATCATGAGGCTGAACTATCTGAGCTCTACCACCAGGCCAGCAGACATTTAAGTCTAGGCCCATTTGAGAGGTTGTGTCTGCTTCCTCCTGCTTCTCAATAAGCAGATTTCAAAGCCCCCTTTTATTTTGATGTGAGCACCTTCCCTCTGTGCAACCTCTCACTTCCACAGTGAGCCTGGATTGAGTCCCAGGCTTTTCCATGGATACAGAGGGCCAGGTATAGTAAAGCACCGTTCTCCATAGTCCCTGTGTTGTACATCACATCTCTAGAACTGATTTTTCCTGAGCAAGTAGAATGGTGTACCTTTGGACAACATCTCCCCCTTTCTTCCCATCCTCAAGTTCTTGGATGCAACATTCTACTCTTTATGACTTCCACATACAAAACAGATCACATGCTATTTGTTTTTCTCTGCCTAATTTCAGTTACCATCATGTTCTCCATGTTTTCACAAATGTCAAGGTTTCATTCTGTTCTAAGACAAGTATATTCCTTTTCAAAGAAATTGAAGTGTGTGTATATACATGTACATTTGCATGTATGTTTGCATATGCTGTGTGTGTATGTGTGAGAAAATGGAGGATGCATGTATTATAGTTTGTATATATACTACATTTTCTTTGGACTTACTTAATTTTTTTTTTATCATGCAGACATGAAAAGAGCCTCTGGTGTTTGGATGGAGTAGGGGTGGCTTAAGTAAAGAGTAGCACCAAATGCCTGGATTCAAAACATCAACATGGCTGAAAGACTTGGTCTTATAAAAAAACATTTTCGCTTATATTCTTATTATCTCATACAGCCAGATGATGATATAGGTCTCTGTACTTTAGCCATACTGGATTTCCCTTAGTTCCTTAAACTAAATTTGCCCTTGTTTATTGAATTGAGATTGGCCTTCCATTTCAGAATTACTCATATAAAAATCTCAAGCAGCTATGCATTTATGGACATATAACTTCCCTATCCATGTATCTGTTAATAAAGCTTGCTTTCTTAGGAATAAAATGAGAACTAAATGAAATAGTACATATGAAGTGCCTAGGATGCCACACAGGAGGCATTCAGTATATGTGGATTAAGTTAATGAATGAATTCACCCACAGTTGTTAGGACAAGAGATTGCTATTCATAAAGTTCTGTAGATACACGAAATGGGCTAGGGGAAATCTAAGTGGGAGGGAGAATTGCTATTTTAAAACCTATATGAGTAAATGCAATTTCCTCTTGTCTTGTTTTTTCCCACCACCCCCTTACCTTTCTTGCCTAGAACATTTGAAAAGCAGCACATTTTAGAAGCTGGATGAATCTCAATAAAAATGAAGGAATCTGGCTTGTCTTTATTGATAGAGTTTGATAGTCCTAAGTTTCATTTCTTAAGCCACTTCTACTGAGAAGCTATTCCTAAAAAGTCAGTGAGCAGGGACAGAACAGCTGTACATACCATTACAAGAAGCCAAGTGAACACAAAGACTATAGGTTGTAAAGAAGATACATGCTTCATTCTTTTATGTGCTGTTAGCATTTGGCATGAAAGTCAGAAATGAGAAAATGAGTCTGCAAAAATAATTGAGCCCTGCTTCATTCATGATTGTAGGGGATTTGAAATTCTCCAAGTCTGTTGCTAGGTCAGTCCCCATGCAGTTACAGAGATCACTGTTGTTACCCTACTGGGCTAATCTAAGGTGGCATTTGAGCTCTCCCAAGGTCACTTGATAAGAGTTAATTTATGCAGGCTATTAGATTACTCTACACTCCAGAAAACACAGCCAGACTGGGCATAGTGCCAGAATCCATAGGACAGGTGAGTTCAACAGAGGAAGAATTTGCCAAGATTTGAATAGTGAATTAAAGCTATTTTTAGTTGTTTGAGTAGTGAAAAATGCTTAATCTCAAGCTAGGTATGGTGGTACCTGTCTATAATCATAGCACCCAGGAGGCTGAGGCAGGAGAATTATGAATTTGAGGCCAGTAGTCTAGACTATATATCCAGATGCTGTCTCAAAAAAATAATACAAAGAAAAAGGAAAATGCTTGTTCCATATATTTCTATTACCTTATCAGCTGCCTTTTAAAGGATTGTATTGAATCAGTGCCACAAACTACTTGAGGAGGAGTGACCTTAGAATTGTGCTGATTATATCACATTGTTCAGTGGCAGTGTATTAGTTTGCTTACTGTCAGTATAATGACTAAAGCTGAGTGATGTTTGAAGAAGAGGTTTATGTATTTGGTTTTGGAGGCTGGGAATCCTGTGAGTATGGTGCTGGCGTCTGCTTGTCTTCTTCTGGGACTTCCATGAAGTTCAACTCATGAAAGAAAGTGGAAGAGAAAAACAAGAAGACTTGATTACACCTACCTGTTCTTTGTGGTTATTCCTATGACCTATTGCCTAACACTCCCATAATGGCAGTGAGACTTTCATATCAGTTTGAAAGAGGACAGTCCATATTCAGAGAAGGACAGCAGCAAGACCTATGGGGCCAGATGGCCTGGGTCAGAATCTTAGGCTATTGATAAGCTGTTCATAAGCCTTAGGCAGGTTACCATAAGTCTTGGTGCCTTTTTTGCTTATATTGTCCACATTGACTTAATTAGAACTGCATCTAGAAAGAACTGTGGAAGTATGTGACAATCCATT